TCGAAGTTGCACGTTATTATATTTTTTGTCTGTTTAAAAATTGAATATGTTTTACGTTTTCCACTAGTAAAACTTAATGATGCCTGACTTGTAATGGATTCGTCATTTGTTTTAGAAAACAAAAATATATCCACTCAGTTAATAATAACATTATAAAACCTTTCTCAGCACTCATTCCCTAGGTTTTTTTTTTTTTCATTTCATGAAAAACAAATCAACAAAGGAACAATTAATTGATGCTGTTACATTAACAAAACGCTTAGTCACTCTAAATATCAAGAAGAAACATACCCTAATTACGTTTCTTTTGGTCTTTGATTAACTACCAACTTAACCAGATATTACAAATCAAATTAAAAAAAAGTATTAAAGTATTCTAGTTTAAAAAACATAAAAGCCGTAGTAATCGAATTTTTTATGTTTTGAATTTCCCGCAAAGCTACACAACGGTTATCTGCACTAGCAGTCCCTAATTTTGCAGTGTAAGACTAGAGTGAAGGTAGCTAGTCATCACCATCCAACAAATAATAGGATTAACCGCCACATTATAACGTCCCCACGGATAAAGGAGCGAGCATCTTTGGTGGGACGGGATTCGAACCCGCGACCCTCAGATTACGAGTCGAGCGACCTAACTACCTAACATACAGTTACATTTATCAAAACATATTACAAACCAAATTAAATAGTAAATTTAACACAGGGTTTCTTAACGTTAACATTAATTCATTGAAAGTTCTGCTGTTATCTCATTTTTAATAAATGATATCTGTTTTCTAATATTTTTTCTTGGTAACGAATATGAAACTACTACTCGTGCAACCCAAAAAATATTACTACAATATTATGGAATAGAAATAAAAATTAAAACTTAAATTTTAATACTTTTAGCTTTTTGCCGCAAAAGTGCACATTTTAACACAACTTTCTCCTTACTGAAATACATTGGGAGGAATATCCATTTTGTAAAGTTTTTCACGTTAATTTCTTAAAGACAATATCTGTTGCTGTCCTTAATTTTGAACTACTGACCAAAAGAAAGACAGAACCTCAGCACCCACCATCCAAGCGATGGGACTGACTGTCACTCTTATAGAACACTCGCAGCTTAAAGTGCAGGACATGATTTGTGGTGTCACCGGGATTCGAACCCGGGTTATTAGTTCTGAAATCCATAACTTTACCACAGAGTCAACCTTCATTCCTTAAAGACAGAAAAGTTCCAGTGTTTGGTCATTTTATATAAATAATATTTTGCTAACAACATTACATTTCTCGCTAATACATAAAATGACTTTCCTCCTTATTCTGTGAGCTTCCTTATACCATCTCAGTAATTAAATATCTAATTGCGTATAATAATTTTCGGTAATTGTTGCCTGTAAACATCAGCTTTATGAGCATCACAAAAATGGGATAATAACATAACACATATTCAACTGTTGGTGCATATATGTAAAACCTTTTTTCATCCTCCTTCGTAAGTGAGTTCATTAAAGTCCGTTGATCTAAACCAATATCACTCAGAGCTGGCATTTTATAATGATGTTGCAAGCTACCTATTGTGGAAGTGTATAATATATTGTACTTCTAGCAATGGAATTACAATGACATATTATTGTTATTTAGTTACCAGTGACAATATATAATGCATACCTTTTTAGTATTTCGATGAATGTAAATCTATCTCTAAATTGGAAATTTTATTGTTGTTTTGGTCCCGTAGGACTTATTCTCTATGAAGGTGACCACTACTGTTACCGCTTTCCCCTTTTACGAAAATCTAGAGTGAGCGATAGCTCCCTTTGATCTATCAGTTCCTGTGTCACTGGTCTTAGACATGAATCTTGATAAAATGTTCAGAAACTCTTCATTTCATACGGACTTTGGCTTTCAAGATCGTGTTTAATCAGACCAAGAAATACAAAACTGTATAAGATCCACACTAGAAAAAGTTACAGTTACATGGTAGAGTGGGATTAGAGTGTTTCCAATTGCTTAGTCCATTTCTTACATCAAAATCGTTGGTGGTTTGGTTGGAATGTGGTCTTGAACCCAGGTGCTGTTTCGAATTTTCTGCTGTGCGAACTTGCCCTCTTTCATGGTGTACATTTGAAAATAAATGGTATTAATATTTTGTATACCCGATAAACATTTGTAATAGAAACATTTCATTTTATATACATACTATTTTAATAACACAAGTATGTTATTTTCATAACATAAATATGACAACTGTCTAAATCTCTTCCATCACATATGCTTTATAATACCAAAACATTCGTTCCTGCAGTTTCTTTCTGTTGGAAAAAGTAAGAATTGAAATTTAAAGAATAATCTTTCTATTCAGGTAAATGGCTTATCGGCAGCGCTTTATAACAGGCATGCCGGATTTGAGCCATTAATAGTAAAATATTTAATACTATTTGCAGGTTTTTTGGGGGATAAGCAATCGCCTTTTCTACCTACAGGTAAAATATTTACTGGATTTTAGTTTGGCGCACACTTCTCAGTTCGATATTAAAGTTTATGGAATCTGTGTTAGCTACATTGGATACACTTGTAGAAGACTTAGTGGTCTAAGAAATATAGAAGTGTCTACTGATCATTCCGTGTTTTTACCTCTGTTTAAATGCATATTTTCTCTATCTGCAAAATGTAAAAGCTCTGTTTCCAAACATCAGAACTTTGTTTTAAATCCAGAACTTGTACCTAATAAGATTTTATTTATGTAAAATGTTTCATTCTTCCCTTGACTACTGCAAAAGCTTTAAATTGTTTATTACTTATTTCCTCAGCTTAATATTAAACTTGATTTCTGAGACACCCACGCATTAAATGTATTCCCGTTTGCGATGCACTATAGAAACGTATGAGCGAATAATAATGGTTCTATAGAATCGATCTAGTTGCAACGTCAATTTACTATTAGTTACATTTCATGAAACGTTCATAATTTTCAAAACTTCACCAGATTAAAAATAGTACCTGCTGCGTTGAAACCGCAGGTCTATCTTCTTGAGGTATTAATGGTGTTGAGTACCATTGTTTGATATAAAACAACGGTACTCAACAGTTTTATTGGTTGTATTATCTGATCCTCTGGAATCATCTCTTGCTATTATTTTACAGGTTGAACAACTGTTAGATAACTATTTTTTTTTATGAGTAACAAGAACATTAATGAGAAACATTTTTGTTTTAATTTTCATGTAAACTACCTAAAATATTAATTTATTTTTCAAGCCATTATTCAGCTCAAACATTAATCTATCTTATTATTTAATTCGAAAATGTCTAATCATTTATACTCTGTTTGATAAAGTACAAGAGATGCGTGATTTTTAAATTGCTATTTTTATATAACATATTTAAAGCAGAATGTAGATTGCGTGTAGAAATATTATTTCTAACGAAATACGAGATTAAACACATGATCAGATTTGTTTTGTAAAATTATGAGCCAACGGTGCAAAAAATTAAAACTTGAAACAAGGGTAGTAATATTGCTAAAGAGTTGTTTAATGATAGTAGAATTATAAGAAAATAATGTTTTCCGTTAAATCTCAATTTCTTCCACAAGACATTTGACGAAACTATCGCTGACATATTTACTTGAAAGTATGAAACTGTATATAGTTTATGTACAAAGGATTTCTTTACACAAATATACAAAGTAAATAAATATATGTACATATATATATTTTAACATTATTAACTGAAAATACATATATATATATATATATATATTAACATTACTAACTGAAAATACATATATATATATATATATATATATTAACATTACTAACCGAAAATACATATATATAACAATAAAACAATTGTGCTAATTACAGTTTGTCCCTTTGTACCATCAAGGAATCTAAAAAAAAATGTATTCTGTATGTCGATATGGTATAGCTGAGACATTTATTGTTTGTAAAAGTGCAGAAAACGAAACTGTAGATAGTTATAATCGACGGAATAGATAGAATTACAAAAAAACTGTATTTCTGTCTGAGAGAAAACGACAACTGTAACGTATATTGGTTATTATAAAGAAAGAAAGAAAATAAGGGAACAAAGGAGAAAACACTATCATTATCAATCCCTTTGTGCAGTTCTTTTATAACTACTATACCACCATTGCAATGAAAGTCTCTGAAGATAGCCTCTTTATTCGTGATAATGACGCACAATTCTATTTCACTTTTAGATTCTCTTTACAACGAACACTTATTTTCGGAATCTCTTCGAGTTTCTTTCATTTGCGAAGCTACATGATAGACGAGCATGGTGTCAAAACTACTCAATGACAATCAGTAAAGTTACTAATTATAAGATCTATTTTTCGTAAAATGATTTTAAGAGTTTGCTAAGCGTAATTGGAAATAGTGATAGAATGTGCGGAAAGCGTAAGTTTTCTATATTGATTCTAAAAACAGTAAAAAGGAGGCATTATAACAGTAGGTGATTTTTTTTCGAAAACAATAGACATCCATTGTATCTTTAATATAAACAATTGCAAAAAATATAATGGATCTGTGTGGATAAATATCTACTAGACTTAATGTTTAGTTTCCACTGTGTAGATTAAAAACATTATTCATTCTAAAAACATTTACAGATAAAAATATTGTTCCTTTAGAAACGTTATAAACTTGTAACTATTCCTCAAATATAAAAACAAAATTGTCCCCACACAGTAATGTTTTTAAACTATGCATCTGAGTACAAGTTTTACGTCAATGTTTTCATGTAATTTACAGACAAACACTTATATTGCTGTTACTAAAGAAATATTTCTCTTGCCACTAATTACGGTTTATTCACATCCTTCACCAGTTCAATTGTTTCCTTTACAAAAGACATTAACGCGAGTCTTAGATCGATCGTTTAATTGTATCTTGCAGGCAAAAGCAGTCGATTCGGCGTAGGAGCGTTGCTCCTGCCTTAGGCTTGCTGCTAAGCTAAAATCGGAGTAAACGTTGTCAGGCGCTCACACAGCACGTGGATGCGATAAAGAATGTATCGAGACCCAATTAGCCATGGTCACTGAGAAATTCAAGTACTTCAGCATCTTGTTTTGGGACATACCTCAACAAATACCCATCTTGCATAGAAAATGGCGATATTAACTTCTTGTTGTTGTTTCAAGTCAATCAGAAAAGGATGTTTCGCAAGTGGGATATTCACTCTGGTTCGTAATTTTTTCTCAGTGTACAACTGTTTTGTATAGATTTATATAGATTTAGTTTTAATGGTATTAGTTCAGTTTATCTGATGTATGTAAGATATAGCTGAAGTCTTTAGATTTTAAGCTATTTTGTAACTATAGTTTTATACTTTTATACTTGTTAATTATAAAAGTGAAACCTGCTATGATTATTGATAATACATTATAACTGTTCTCTGTTTTGTAATTTCAAGTGATAAAGAGTTTTCAAACAACCAATCACCAGGATGATAAAACAATGTAATTATTATAACAGGGGGATAATGACTTTAACGTCATAAATAAGGTTTATTTTATTATCTTCTGTGTTATCCATTTATTATATTTCTAGGAGAAATGTTTTGATTCATATTTCATTACTTTTTTGTAAAAATGAATAATTATTTCACATGAATAATACAAAATAGTGAACCAATATTTAAGAAGGTACACTTGAAATTTGTAATTTCAGTAGCATTGTCAAATTCAAACATTTATAGAATCCATATGCTTTCTTAAAATAATTATTATGCTTATTCATTCTTTTATTTATGTGTAAATAAAAGTTGAATTAGATAGTCGAGCTTCAGAGCACGTTATGTATTTCAAAGACTTATGTGTTTTGGATATATAAGTTATATTTCAATAATTTTATACATTTATAGTTACATGTTGTGTTCAAGTTAAACTTGTGTTCAACTATAGTTACATGTTGTGCTCAAGTAACAGTTGAGGTGAATATATTACGCTGATCGTAAGTTGGACTACTAAAACTTTACAATACAGTTTTAGATTATGTTTTTATCTCAACAACATAACAAACACAGAAAAATGACGAGAAGTAAATGAAACAATATTTTTACAATTCCAAATAAAGAATATATAAATTACTTAGAGTAAAATGGGTGTTTTTCCTCATTTAATAAAAACAATGGAGAATGAAATAATGAATTTAAAATTTCTTATAAAGTATTTTAACATAGGCATATTCATATAGAGATTATGTTCACTGAAGTAGCTGAATACGTTAAACAACAGTGTATACATGAACTCTGAAGTCAACAAAAACGGCACATGTCTAACTTCTTTCTACTTTGTATCGCAAGGTGATCAACCTTTTACAATATGTTTTCCGGGCTCCATTGAAGAACAGTTTTTTTAACGCACTTCTTTAAATATCTTAAGTGTAAGGAACGCGCATAAGGAGTTTCCAGAAGTTTAGACATTAGATACATGTATATTTAATTGTAATTGAAAATGGTTGAAAAATTTTAGTTTTTCAAGTCATTTTTGGGCTTTCGAAATAATGATAACAGTATGAGCAAATCCGGAAAATTCTGGGCGGTTGGTCGCCCTAGTATATAGTGATGATAATGAATAAAACGTTTACTTACTCACCTTGGATATTACGAATGAACTGGCGTCTTTCATTTCTTACGCCTAATTGTAGAAATATATATATATCTATACATTTTGAAAAGTTATTTTAACACACGTATTATTCACACGAATGTTAGAACATCATTTCTACAGAGCAATCAATACAGATCACACTTTATTTTGTGTTTCTTAATTTTCCATTCATCGTGCGTAAGTAAAAGCAAAATATACAGTTTGGTTTTACTTAAATTAGTATTTACTGGTTATGACTACATATTTTTAAAAACTATCATCAATTTACCATTTAAATTTCAGTATTTTCTAATTTTCAACTTCGGTTTTATATTTTTGAATTTTAGTAATATATCTTGTGATGTAGGTTTACAATACCATACAGTAACTAATCTGAAATAATTAGATATTAAGTATCAACACGCTATTCATGTTACTTATTCCTAACGTTAGCTTCTATTGGAGAGCAAACTTGCAAACTGCTCATATATACTCATTTTCATTTTCAAAACTAGGCTTTATTATTCCATTGTGTGATTTATTTGTAAAAGAGAGCGTTGCTGATGACAGTATATTAACTGATGAAATACTGTGGAATATTTGAACTAAGTTATCCAAGAGAACATAAGGGAATTTCCTTTTAATGTTAATGCTCATTATTTCAAATATTTATTTGTCTTTTTCTTTTGAGAGAGTTATTACTTTGGAATTTAAAAAATATAATAATAACAATATATATATATAGCATTTTAATAATAAAAGTTCAAAGATATTTTTATTTATATGAAATCAAATATTTAGTTAATCTTAATTAGCAAAATTCGTATTTTAAAATTAAAGTAGACTGGCCATTTTTTAAAGAAATTCCAATTACTGAGTGTCATTGAAAATGTGGGAAAATAATCAATACCTTTTTTTTATTCTAAGTGTCTTTCTTCCGAGGAAGAGATTATGAATAAGCTTATATAATGCGACGTCAGTCTGAAAGTGTAATATTATTATTCAAATTACTGTTTGTTGAATTTCTGGTGTATTCTGGAGTAAACCAGTTACAAAAATGATTCAGATCACACGCAATCTTTATTTCTTAATGAGTAAATAAATGGAAAGTAGTAATTTTTGTTTTACTTAAATTAATAAAAGTAGTGAGTGGACTGGTAATGATATACACATTACAAACAAATACACTATTGATATATATATATATATGTATTCGTGGTTCTTAAACTAAATATAATTATGTTCTCAAAACTGAGGTATAAGCTACTAAAAATATATAATTCCACTGCTTGTCTTATTGTTTCAAAATATAACCGTGAGTGATTGTGATTTTTAAACAAAGCTAAGATTCAGATGCTCAAAATCAAAAACTCTTAAAAACTTTAACTTGTAAACTGTTTTTTAAGCCACAATTATGCATCGCCATTTTATGGTTGATAAAATAAAGAGGTCGCAACGTTTACTATTAACCAGCAAGTTTTTATTTTCAAGGAGACAGATTTATTATACAAGGCAATCGGGTGCCCATTGATACAATATTTATATAATAATAAAATAAAATGAGACTGCTTCGTTCCCATTTTCTAAATTTCGACAGCACCGTAACATTTCAAATTGGAAAAAAAAACAAGGAAAACGGAAATTTGACATAGAATAATCGAAAAATGCATTAATTAACTTATAAGTTTTCACTTTCTTGTACGTATTTCCGAGTTCTAGCATCAAAACTCATAAATATTAGATCCTAGCAATTTTCTTGTGTACTCCTTAGAACCAGAAGGTGTACAGATAATGTAAAAAACAACAAAAACTTAAATACGCACACGAGTACACAAACGAACCGTATCGTTTAAATATGTCTATTGTCAATTGCATGTATTTTTAATTGAAAACGTATATTTACTTCAGTAACTATGTTTATTCTTTCTTCCGGTAAGTACTGAAACAATAAATAACGAAAATGCTTATTTTAACATTTTAATTTTTTCTTTTACTATAAAGTTTATGTGATAAATGTGCTACCAATTATTTTGGTAGTACATTTATAAAATGATAATTAGACGTATATAATTGAATGGCAACTATAAGACCTACTTGATCTACCTACTTTGCTCAAAAGACATGTAAAGAACGATCTTATCTCCGACTTGCACAGCTTTTTATTTTCATCTACCATACGTATTCTCCACACACACAATCACTTTCATTCTACGTTGTTTAATTTTTGGGAACTGAGATCAGTTCACTCGTTACATTTAATGGAGAAATTTAGTACTAAATATGGCTTTTAATTTAGTAAAATTCTCTCTCTATCGACTTTGATGACTCTCTTCTAGATTTCATATATTTAGTTCGTTAAAGAAATTAATACTTTTATTTTTTATTGATCAAAGCAATCAATAAAAATTGATTTTATGTTAAGTTTTACAATACCACTATATTACATTGTTTTTAGATTATTTAATGTTTTCATAAAGACAGTTGAAAGAAAACAATATAAATATGAATTTTTATCGTGTTCATTGGTGAATTCTGTAAGCAAGTTATGATTTCAGAACACTACCAATTCTCACATTTATAAATCGTTTTCCTAAAATGGCCTTCGACAATTATATTATTTAATACATGAATCCAGGATTTGAATCATAATAATAAACCCAAAGTAAACTCTAACAAGATTTTTACCTTTGAATAGGGTATGAAAACTATTATGTAGCTAACGTGTGTAGACTACAGAGAGTTTTACCTCATTCAAAAAAAAGAATTTCTCTGTTAAAGTATGCTATTGTGATTTATGACAGCAGAATTCCAGGCGTCATCGAGGCTAAAACGTTTTCTACCAAACAATCTTTTAACCTTTATATAAAAAAGAGCATGTCAGAAACTCAACGGCTAATAATTCATGTAGTGAGATGAGCCAGTGACGTCACAGTAGCTTAAGACCGTGCACAAGTGCAAATGAAAGGGATAAAGACGATTGTAGGTCATTTAAAGATATAGTAGTGAAAACTAAAATATTGTACCCGAAAGATATTTTGCATACACAAACACGCATAACATCGGAAGTAATTATGGAAACACACAGACTTGTACATATACAGGAATCACAAGTAATTAGTAACTACAATAAATGGTCAGTTTATTATCAATGCGATACAAATGCAAAATAAAAGCAAGTAAGTTGTACAATGCATTAGTGTATTTGTATTACAAACCACTACACATTATGTTACAAATTGATTATTGTATTAGTGTGAATTATTGTATCAAATGTCCTGTATTATTCACCACATTTCAGCCACGTTGTTTTGTTGCCGTTTGACTCTCTCGGTTTTCATATAAGCTCATACAGCGTAAATATTTTTCCTATAGGGAATATGTACAGGTCAAGCCATGGATGCTAGTGTTCCATCAACACCTGTTTGTCTTGAGGTGTCGTTTAATCAGAGTAACTGACTGCATCGCGGTCTGGCTAAGAGATTAACTCATCCACAATAAGTTTTGTTTCTAAGGGAATGACATGATAGATATTGGATAAGAATCTGCTTGTACTTGTTGGTGGCAAGGGTGACATCAATTTTATGTATAGTACA